TAAATTCATACGAATTTTACTTCAAACTATAAAATATATTTTAGTCTTTTTATCTTTATTTTATTTCATAACGTGGTTTTGAGCATGTATCTTTACATATGAACACGAACATTTATTTAGATTAAAATATCGAAGATGAGTATTAAACAAGTGTCAAAAATAATGTACCAATGATTAAAATTACAATTCGTTTTTAGAGTCCATAAACTAAGCTAGACATTTTGAAAGTTTGAAGAGTCGAGAGACTAAAATAGACATTTTAAAAATTTAAGAACTAAAATAGAACAAATTCATATGAAAAAGGATTTTGTATATATTTGAAAATAAAGTTAGTGAAAATTAACCTCCTTGAATTTTCTTTGATTCAGAAGCATTCTTTCTTTCTCATTTGTCTTGGAGCCCATCTTTCTAAGACAAGGTAAAAAAGAATGTAAGGATTTTATAATTTTTTTTTCTATTGTGTTCCTCAATAAAAATGTAAAAATTTCATTTCATCAAATTGATAAACTTAAACAAAATGATGAGATTAATGGTCTTCCAAAATCAAGCTAAAAGTTTGTCCAAAACCTTATTAATAAAAATGGGATCTCAAAATTAAGTGAACAAAAAATACTTAATGTTGGAGGCCATTTATCAACTGTCACGTGTCAACATTTGGAATCAACAACTACCAAGATGATTAAAGTAACTTATGTTCGACAATATTGATTTCCTCAACTCGGTATCAAGGGTCTAAGCTACAGAGTTTTCTACATTCCAACTGACCTATGATAGGTACAAGCTGAGGTTAAAGAGTAATCGAGGGAGTGTAGACGGCATAAATATTTCCTAACAAGACATCTCAGTCTTAGATTGTCAGGAATCCCTATTGGGAGCTCACCTCTATAAATAGAGAGCCCCACCTCTCATATAAGGTGCATGAAAGATATTCTCTCTCGAATATATATCGGATCGTATATTGATTAGAGCGTCGAAGTGCTAACTTTATTTTAGCAGGTCTCAAATATAACGGTGTAATTCGTCGTCCGAGTTTCACATATTCTGAAGTTGATACTATCAAACACTCAAAATCTAAAAAGAACCGAAGAAAAAAAAAAAAACCAACCCAACGCTAAAGCGCCAAAAACTAGCAAAAATAAAATGGCCAAGTCAAAAGAATGTTTAAAGCCAACCAAAAATTTAACTTCTAATAAAATATATTAATTTTAAGTTTAAGATTACATTAAAAAAAAACTTGTATATAATGTATTATACACGGTTAAGGAGAGAGTAGGTGTAGTGTAGGCCGTAGGGTACATAGATCTACCATCAATTTTCCAAGATCTTTTTATTTTGAATTTTGAATTTTGGTGGGGCCATTTTGGGAAATTGGGTAACCAAAACGCAAATATAAAAAAAAGAAAAAGAAATTGTGGGGTTGTGGGGCCGGGGTATGGAGTAGAGGGACATGGCACCTTCACACCTAAACCCCTTCCCCATAATTCTAGGGGTATGGGGCCTCCTTACATGTGGTCCTATCATAAATTACATTAATTCATTCCCATTTTTCATTTTTTTAATTTCTTTATGTACTTCACTATTTTAGTTTTTATCCAAGAAAAAAAAAACATTTCTACACAAACTTTAAAAAATTAAAAATCTATATATTTTTTGTTTGAAATTTTGCAAAAGTATTGTTGAAAAGAAAAAGAATTAATAGTATAGGGACCAAAATAGTATTTTAAACTGAAAGAAAATATAAAAATATTTTTTTATTGAAAAGAGGGATTGAACGTGAATGATAATAGAATTTTATCCACTCAAACTATGTTGAACATTTTCTATGTATGGTTTAAAATCATGAACGATTTTAAGTTGATGTATTGGTGGATAAATAAAATTGACTAATATATCCAATCAACTTTCAATTGGTCCATTTTTTTTTATTTAGTAGTTGAATATGTTTTTAATGTCATTTGTTTTTTAGCAATCTCTAAATGATTTTTAGTAAAGAAAAACAAAATGTGGGAAATGAATATTTGAACCTGTAATTAGGAAAAACAAAAACAAAAGTCACTCAACACGGTGGCTAATGCTAAATAATTGACCAGTTATATATGCTATTTTTTAAGTATTATAATTAAAACTTGAGGTGAGAATTAGAAAATTACAAATTTAAGTGGAGGTTTTCTTTTTAGTAGGGATTGAATCTCCCGCTTCAAAAAAAAGAAATACAAATACATGTCAATTATCACTAAAATATATTTATGTTGACATTTAAGTGGAGGTTGATCAAAATATTGAATTATATATATATTTTTTAGTATAATGGGGTGAGAAATCGAACTCACAACCTCTGGATTTAAGATGTATGTTTTTTTTTTTAAACAAGATATATAATATCACCGGAGTTACATTTTATTTTTAGGTATTGATGCGATGTATTCCACCAGCCGACTGAAAACTTGATTACTGACATATCGATCGGTCTAATACAAATTGAAATAGAAGCCGGTTCGACAGGAAGCTAGTGCACCCAGGTAAATATTTAATAAGAAAATCATGTTTATTAGATCAAAATTCAAAATAACCAATAATTTTAGTTTATCGTGAGTTAAGGAATCATTCTGATTAGTTGATAACATTAGTTGAGAATTTTGTGAAAGAATTCCTATAAAAGGTTTTAAACAAATTTGACTGACAGGTACATTTAGTATTGAACCACTTGAACTATACTCGAGATGTTTAGGAAGAGCGGGAAGAATAATGTATGAAATGAGGTGGGAGTGGGTAGGAAGGAGAAATAAATAGAGATGACGAGAGTGGTAAATAATAGGAGTGAAGTAGAAAGGTGAGAGAAGGAAGACAGATGGAGGGGGGGCCATAGGAAGACCATGGTTCTGCATTTCATTAATGGAGTCTCAGTCAGAACAAAAGAGAAAAAAAAAAAGAAAAAAAGTTTACCTAATGCGCTCAGTCCATTGCAGAATCGTACACCTTCCGAGGTTTCCAGTTGCCGTGCGACGGTTGCCGGTGGGCCCTCCCCTGCTTCTTCTTCTGTGGCCTGGGCCCACTCCATCAAAACTCAAGGCCCATTCCATAACCCCAAAGCCCATTTTCCACTTTCCAGAACTGGCCCATAAGGCTACGGTCTCAGGCTGGGATGATCTTCCGTGGGCTGGGCCCGTCTTTACAATCTCACCTCATCATAATTAATCTCCGATAATTCTTCACAACAACGTCTCCGTATTTTTATCCATAGTGGTATATGAATATATATGATTTTACTTTTGAATTTTACCCAAAAACATTTTAAATGAATGAATATGTTTACTTCCAGCTAGGCAAAATACAATCTACTACGTGGATAAATAATTGTGATTTATTCTTTTTCGAAACCTTGAAAACACGCAGTGATCGAGCTATAAGCCTGACCATGATGATTCGAAATAGCTCAGACAATCACTAGTGGCCTCAAATATGTTGACACCAAAGTACCCCACGATTTGTAATTGTACATCTAATTTCGAGACGACCATAATAGACCAAAAAAGTGAGATCCATCACATTCCACCTATAGATATGGAGATCAACTTAGGTACATAAGTATGCAATTTTAATTCCTTGTCTTGGGGCTATAGATGAAACCTATACTAACTTGATTACTAGTTTGTTCACATGATCCAGCCACACGAGTTGGTTAGTACGAAAGTTTTTAAATGTGATGTTTAACTCCTCCTACACTAAATTTGTTGAGAAACAAAAATAAACTATAGAGTTCAAATGAAATTAAGTATACAAATTTATCAACAACCAAAATAGGCCAAATGAATCAACATGAGCTTCCAAGGTAATTGGCACCTACTCTTTGCCTTGCTCAGCAGGCGTGACTTGGAGTATGGAGTGTACGAACCGTTGGTGTTGGTCTCAATTAGTTTGTGTTCACATTCTGTTTTACTCATGGTTTCAATTTTTAGCAATTTGTTTTATCAAAGGTTTCTATTCTATATTGGAGTTTTGGACATCATTGGTGGTACAGCTGAAAGGAAAGCACAAGCAAGAAGAAGAACAAGCAGCGGCCTTAATTACTTGTCTATCAAGCAGCATCAATTTTATCAATGAACAAAAATCCCCAACTCTTGAGGTTCCATCTGGAATTTGGCCTTCCTCCTACGTGAAAAAACACAGAAAAATTTTGAGTCTCCGTTTTGTTTTGGACCAGAAAACCTTTTAACAACCCCTTCATCCAAATATTGCAAGAATCTCTAGTACGACATTGGGCTGGAAACGGATTCTGTAGGACTCTGTGGCTCTGCTTTTGCCGGATGAGAGGCATTGAAGAAACCCTCTGCTACAAGAGCCAGAGCAGAGGAATTGAATAGGTTTCTATTACTGATTTTGATGTCTAAAGGAATTGTAGGACATGGGTTTTGTTTGTTGGCTGATTTGGAGTGGTGGGTCTTCCTTGACTGGTCCTGAAATTTGCAGACAGGAGGGAGAGAGGGACACAAGTATAAAGCGGAGGACATACTCTTCTAAGAGCAGAAGCAGAGATGGGAAGATTGTGAGTAATGGATCAAAGGCTCTGTTGTGTAATTTGTGGGATTCAATAGTGTTGGGAGTACTGATTTGGAAGCTGGAATGAGAAAATATTATTTTGTCTTATATATGTGTCAAATTACCCTAAATCCCATTTAAGAGCATAGTATCATATGAAGGGACCATCCCCATTTCCATTCTTAGCAAAGTAACAAAACATATAAGGAAGAACCCCATAGCTTAGCTTGCAGTGCATTGGAATTAGATGCAATTCATTCATTCATTCATTAAACCACATTAAACAGAGTCTTTGAATTAGTTGAATTAGAGATGCAACTTAGAGGATTTAATTCTAATTTTAGTGTAAACAAAACTGAGATATATAGGTTAGTGAATTCAATATTTGAATTGAATTGATTTAAAGAGCTTAAAAGGGAAGAGATCATTATTCTTCTCATCTTAACTAGTAAAAATTACCCATCAAAACTTTATATCTCATTAAAGTTCAATCACCTGCATTCTGCCATTGAATTGATTTTAAGAGGTTGGTTTGCCTTTCCACATTATCAGAGGTTTTGCCCATAAATTTCAGTCCCCAAACTTCATTATATTATGTAAATGTGAGTACCCAAATGAAGATTCACCAGCAAACTCCAATGTTTCTTCTCGTTCTTCTTCTCCAGCTTCTTGTGAGAACCATATCACGCCAAAATATTGCTTCACATAACTCTTCACAGTCTCTTCCTCAGGTAATTAAATTAGCTATTAAACTTGTTTTTTTTCCATTCAAAGTTGATCAAATTAACACCCCTTTCGTTTACCTGTTCAGCCGGTCTCAGAAGCACTTCTTTGCAGTGGAAACCATGACTTCTTTTACCTTGTTCAACAGGTGAACTAAACTTGGCTTGCTCCCATTTGATTATTGCATGGTTCCTCTCTTCTTATTTGTGGGTGTTTTGGTAAGCATCAGTGGCAGGTTTCTTTATGCAATGTGAAGCCTTGTCAAAAACCAGCAAGACCCATTTTCAGCATTTATGGCTTCTGGCCTTCTTCTTCTTCTGGGACTCCCAACTGCAAAATTGGAACAACTTTTGATCCTTCAAAGGTACTCTTGTGGAGAGAGAGACAGAGGGTTTGAGCATTCAAATTCATTATGATTTTTTCTTTGTAAAATGGGTTTTTATTGTAGATTTTGGACCTGAAAGAGGAGTTGGATAGAGAATGGCCATCTCTTGAGGAGGAGGAGAACGAAAAAGAGTGGAAGAAAGAGTGGGAAAGGCATGGAATTTGTTCTGAACCACTGCTCACTGAGCATGCATTCTTTGAAACTGCCCTCAAGCTTAAACAAACCTATGATCTCTTCAATATGCTTGCAAACAAAGGTGTGTGTCTCATCTCACTTGCATTATCTGAACCACATTCGCCTACTTTCAAGTCAAATATTCCTAGATGAACTAGTTTACCATTAATATTTATAGGCTAAGAGAGAAATGGAGGAGATAAAAGAAGGAAAAAAGAATAATGGATCTACAATACTAGTTAATTGGAAAAAATGACCAACCTTTTGAAAAAATACAAAGAAGTCTTCCTGATGTGATAGTAAATAGACTATTGTGGTAACGATAAGTATAAAAAAAGAACGAGAAAGAAACTATGTTGTATATTATTTCACTAAAACTAATCGACTCATTATGAGCTATCACATCATCTTCTAACTTATCTTTCATATCATCAATGATAAAAAGACTTGAAACACCGTTCAAAATAATTTTCAAAACTTCAAATGTTAACATCAAAGACTAGAAAGTACTGCTTGAAGCTCAACTCTGCAAGAGGGTAACACAAAACATTAAATGCAGTGTGTCCTACATGATTAGGTGGATTAACAATTCCCTTTCAGCCACTTGATCTTACTTTTTCAACCAAGAAAAAGAAAAGAACTTTATTGTAAATCATTACACTGCAACTTTATGCATCATTTGTGGTTTTAAGGCAAAGAATATGAATGGTGGGTTTGCAGCAATATTTCCATTTGGAGAAGTGTATGGCTTAGAAAACATAAGCGATGCCATCAAAGCTGCGACTGGCCACACTCCACAAGTGGAATGCGAGTCATACAAACACATCCCTCTGCTCTCCAACATCTTCCTTTGTTTCCAATACACTGCAACTTCCATTGATATTATTGACTGCCCCCTCATAACAAGATGCAACTTTCAAGCAATCTTGTTCCCTTATGATCTGTTTGGACCTTCTTAGAACTTTAAACCCACTCTGTAATGGCAGCAAAAACAACCCCCCAATTTTGTTTTCTCCCCTTGTGAACTTTGTTGTTGTTGTTCTATTTATGTGTATCAACAGTTTTCCCTTGGACTCTGTAAAGAATCTATACCGTTTTGATCTTATACCTCTATTTTGATGTTTATGTTAAATGGTTTGTTTTTAAGTTATTCATTATATTTGCAAGAGATCCATTCATATTGTCAGAGAGAGAGAGAGAGAGAGAGAGAGAGAGAGAGAGAGAGAGAGAGAGAGGAGTACTAAAAATAAAAACTCTCTAGATGAGAAAATGGTGTTTTGGGTGACAAGGAGCAAAGTCAGAGTTCAGTTGGAGGATACTAGAGGGAGAGAAGAAGATAAAAACTCAAACTGAGCTTCAACAATCTCCAAATTGAATCATCTCATTTACAAGCCAGGTGGACTGAAAAGAATAGAATCTTTATTCAATTTGTGAATTGCAATAGACCAATTACAACGTAATGCCAAATCATTCACTTCTTTTCTCATTAGAATCATTCAATCCTTTGTTCTAGTTTTGTGCCAAATCATCAACTCATCCAATTAAAAATGCTAGATCACAACCAAAAAAAAAAAAAGAAAAAGAAAGAAAGAAAGATATAACCACATTACAACCTGTAAAAATCATACGAGCTAAACAACCCGTGCTTACGTGAATGATGCTTTCCTTTCTTGATCCAATCGCAAGAACGAACGCGTCGAAAAAAGCCCAGCGAACCCCTTTGACAGACAACCTTCAACAGCACAAGGAGATTTGGTACAAGCCACAGCACCATTATGTCGAACCATTTCCATGCTCTCATCTGCAGTACTTGCAGGTAAGTTTATCTCCAAGTTCACAGGCTTGCCAGCCATAGATCTACTTTTCTTGATGCTCGTAACAGGACTCAGCTCCATGAAGCCAGTTCTAGAATCACCCAGAGAAACCATCCCATCCATTTGCATGTCCTCAGGTAATTTCCTCTTCAAACCAGGGAAAAACTTTAACCCTGACACAATCCAAACCAGTAAAACACAACTTATATCACATACTGCGTGCCATGGAAGTCCATTTATAGAACATTACTTTTTTTTTTCTTTGACAGTTGAACATAATCCATACCAGGAAGAGAATCTTCAAATGACTGCGATTCTGTGTCTCCACAATTACATTGTAGGTTTGAGATTGTATTAGAACGCCTGCATAATAGTTACAAGCTATCAGCGTATCATATGTTAGTATAAGGCTAAACCGTCCACTGAAAATTATGTATAAGCCAGAATTATTTAACTACATTAAATTAAAAACTCATCGCATCTGCATAAACCTCCAAACACAAACCTGTACATGTGCTCGACGAAGTCATCAATTAGGACAGGCCAAGCACCTGATAGAAGAATGCAACTGAGTAACTCTAAACAGTACAGTAAAACAACATTATGCTTATTAAAAATCATACCCACTATTTCAAAAGATTAAGATGTAGTCTTGAGGCTCTTTATCCAGAAGAAGTGAGGCATGAGCCTCGATTTAATTAGAAAAAATCGAATAAAATTACAAAAATATTGTAGTAGTTCCTGAGGGTCTTATCATTTTTAATTCAAATATATTTAACACATAAATATCTAATAGTACACTCCTAAAAGAATAACAAAAAAAAAATATATACAAATACCTTCAGGATCATACCCTTCCAGATTTTCATGTACACACCGGCTGAAAGCCAAAACTTGCTGCCAAGTATCCTCAGAAATATTGTGTCTCTGATTGTTCTATAGAACTTAAATATATCAGAACCCTTGACATAAGTTGCACTAAATTGTACTTCTATATCAAGAAACAAGTTGAAGAATAGATCCCCAAAAGATAACATGGATTCATGTACCCAGATATAAGAAATTTAATAGATTAGAATCTTTGGTATAAAAATAGCCAAAAATTTCCCAAAATTCATCTACTTCAAAAATTGAGATAAATGGATATTACTTTGTCCGTACTTATGAATTTATATACAAGCATGTCTGCGGATGACAACTAATAGCATAGAAAAGTTCATTCATTGGTGTCTAACATGTAGGTACATTTCATAAATGTTAGACCCTAGAAACCTGAGTTGATGAAAATAGCTTCAGGTGGAAATTCTGGTTTTCTGATTATGGGGGGGAGGATACCTCAACAAAGTTGCACCATTGATTAAGTAACCGAAATCTCCCATCCAAAACTAATCTCCATGCTTTAACTGCCCTATGAACGGCTGTAATTCAAATGAAAGAAGAAAAAAATAAATTTATTAGAATGTAAGAGATTTTTTTTACCTGGTGCACATTTCATGATATCATTCATATTAAAGTAAAGCATAATTTTATATCCAAGTCAAAAGAAGGAATCTTACTGATATTCTTTTGACCATTTTCACGGCACACAAAGAAAACAAACTCATAGAAGCGTGAAAATTCAGAGAAGTCTACCTACAAAATAAAATTGTCAAATTCAAAATACAAACCAGAAAATCTTTCAATCATAATTCTAAAGTTGACAGTAGGGCATAAATAAAACACGATAAAGCTTACTGAACATATTATGTTGCCACCAGCTAATATAAAAGCTTGCCAAATTAAAGGAAATTAGAGTAGGAAACCACTAAAAATGATAGGAAGGAAGAGTTTACCATCAAATTTAGATATGACATCAGCTTCGATAGTTCATAAACTATTGAGTTCCTGCAAATGTAAATTATACTTTTCAGATGACCTAGGTTGATTTGATGTAATGCTACCTACGTACAAAATGACCTGACGACCTCATTAATCAAATTGTAATTTGGCACCTGCAAGTCGGTTTTTGTCCATGTAACATTTTTTTTATAGAAATGCTAGGAAATAATACTAGACTGTACCAGAACTAAATGAAATCAAACTAGTAGGGGAGGTATCTGTGTCTACAATAGTAAAAATTATCTCAATTTGAAAATTTAGTTGATAATTTATCTTAGTTACACATCTGTCAAAAAATGTCTTATTTTGGAAGGACAAAAATTATTCAGTTTTATAAAACCGTGTAAAACTCTAGATATCCAATCCTATACTATCATGGTCCATGTGATACATAGTGTAACTAACAAAACATAACGAGGCCTATTGTATAGGTTTTAAGGGATGTACCCCATCTGCAGTGATGATTGCACATATTTTAAGAGCGCTGCAAGTGCCTCCTTTGAACTTTTAGCTATTTGTGTTTCGACATGTCTGGAGTCTTCATTCCCACAACAAAAGCCATTTTGAGATCGAATATCTATAAACAAGTTAGTAAACCAGCTAAGACTTCAATATATTGCTAATCTGAGTTCCAAACACAATACACATCAGACTGGATTTCAAGTCATTCATAGTCTAATCAAAGAGGGGTGTTCAAATATCAGAACCGTGATCTTTTTCCATTGACAACAAGGAAATAATCCATTCAAACTAAAATGTCAAGGAACCTGTGCACATGATAACCATTTATTCATGTTACTGTTACATTTACAGAAAAAAACGATTAAGAGCCAGAACATGATACTGCATTTCTTTTTTATTTTTTTAGTAGTGTTGAATATTTCCACTCAGCTCCACCAACCCCACGTTTTGCTGTCATCTAAAAGAAATGGGAAGCCATAGGGGCACTAATTAATTTCTCATGCAAGTATAAACGAATATAGGTTCTATTTATCTGAAACAATTTGGTAAGGCTCAAACTTCTCCCCCTAAAGGGCTGCAGCTCAGAATTTGAAATCATAATACAATAATTACTAATACTTGAATTATCTCTCCGACTAACTACGAGAAATACCAGTGCTTGCTCATTTGAAAATAAAATAATCAAAATCCATAATTCTCTAAGGAAGCTGATAGACCAGAAAATAACATTGACATTGACCCAGAGGCCTGATGTATCATATCTTTCAAAAGAAGTTCCGTAAACTAATCTTTTACATTCTTTATCACCGAACACATTAATGCAAGTCCCAAAAAATAAAGGCACCTAAAGTTCTCAAGACCAGATATATCTCAATTTGTTAAGCATAAAAAAGCACTTAGCAACTAACCATCTTTAAAAAGATAAATAAAAACATTCCATCTTTAACATAATAAAATCTTCTAACACACATCGGCAGGCAGACGCAAAGAAAGATTTCTATAAAAGTACCAAAAATCCTTTGAAGGGGAAAAGATTGCAAGAGATAATCCAAGGGCAGAGAAAAATTGAGATTCTAAAGGTTAAACTAAAGAAATGTTTACTAAGAATCGGCAGCAGCGAATCATGGATTAGGGACGAGACAAGATCGAAAAGAAGTGGGCGGAATCGGAAATTGGAAGCAGTAGGGAAGAGCAGCGAGTTACCACAGTATTGACGATAAATCTGGACGATGTCGAAGCGATTCATTTGCAAGAAATCGGGGGCAGAAGCCATGGAAGTTTGGTGGAGGGGCAGAAGCAGAAGAAGGAAGCTCTCTCGATTCTGTTTCTTGCCCCCTTTGGCTCTGCTTCTCTTCTCTTCTCTTCTCTTTACCTTTTTCACTGTCACAGAAATGAATCACAGATTATATCTTTACGCAATTTCTCTTCTTCTTCCTTCAGACTTCACAAAGTGGATGCAGAACCCATGGTCCGACTCAACCGGATTTGAACCGGCAGTTCATTCTTTTGTTTTTCGGACGGACCGGATTTGAACCGGCAGGCTTTTTTTTTTTTAAATATAAAATAATCAAAGTGCATCCACAATATTCTTTTTGCTAATCATATATGCAGGGTAAATTAAAAAAGGAAAAAAAAAACGAAAAAAAGACCTCCTTTAATTTGTTCCTTTTTTAAAAAATATTTCTATCATTTCAAAAGTTTCAATAAAACTCTTAACATTTCGTAAATGTTTCAAAAAAAATCTCCTTAAAGCAAATGTCTTTTAATGTTTTGAATGAAAAGTTGAGATAAAAATTTTTGAAATGATGTAATAATTAATAGAATCTTGATGATGGTAAAAGAATTTACAAGTAAAAACAATGACAGGTTTATAATTGACTATATAAAGGTTAAATTTGTTGTAGTATTTGTTACGTTTCAAGTAAACTTCTATTATTTGTCACATCGTTTTAGATTCTACAACATCGATTTTTCCTTCAAAAATATCAATAAAGAATATGTGCTTAAAGGATATGTTTTCGAAACATTTATGAAGGGTAAAAAGTATTAAAAAAAGTATTAAAACTTGTGAAAGAATAGAAATATTTTTTTAAAACAAATGAAATATATTTTATGTAATTTACTTTTGTATGTATCAACGTGTTGATGTAAGACGTATTGTTTTGTTGATATATACTAACATTAAGTGGGGTGGAGTGGATATATTGACGGGAAAATATTAACCGTGACCAATTTTTTTTTTTTTTTAAAGGGCAACATTATTAGTCATTACATGTAAAATCAAACATGTATACACATATAAGCTCTTGGATTATTCGGTGACAGATGACATAGATTTAGCANTAAGCAATTAGGATGTCCGATTAATGGGATATCTTTTACAAAATTATTTTTTTAGAATTTTTTTTTTATAAAATTATGGTTAAAAAACACCTGGAGTCCCTCTACTTTCGCTAAAATAACAATTTAGTCCATGAACTTTAGTTTGTAATGATTTCGTCTCTGTACTTTCAAATTGGTAACAACTTAGTCCTTAAATTTTAATAGGTAACAATTTAGTTCTTGTAATTTAAAGTTAGTAACGATTTAGTCATTACAGTGAATTTTTTTTGTTAAGTTTATGTATAGATTGATAAATTAAAGAGGGACCAAATATGTTTATTAATTAGAAAGATTAAATTGTTATATGATGAAATTTGACCTTTAATTTTAATAAAAAATTTTACGATAACAACTAAATTGTTAAAAATTTTAAACTACAGAGATGAAATTGTTACAAGTTAAAGTTCACATACAAAATTGTTACTTTAGAAAAAATACAGGGACTAAAACGTTACCAATTAAAGTTCAGATACTAAATTATTATTTCAGTGAAAACAATTTTAAAATTTTAATTTTTTTTTACATGAAAATTCAGGACCAGACATGTTTTTAAACCTAAAATTATTAATGAGACAAAACTAATAATAATATTGGAACAAATCAATTTTAATTATTAGCATGACACATGTGCATATACATTCATCATCTATTCACGTTAGATTAGTTATTTTAAAAGACATAATTTTATGATATAAAAAAAAGGAAATATCTTTATTTTCCTTTTTTAAATACATTTTGTTAGCATGCGCGGTAAAATGAACTTCACATGCCTTCAATGTTTTATGAAATCTCAATTATGACTTGTTAAGCTAATTAGGTTTTAGCCAATTTCTTTTGCAGTGGGAAACATATTTAATTCAATTACTTATGTTATCTAGAAACTTTGAGACTAAAACTAATGAAATGTGTGTTTGGAAATCAATCATATTCAAGTCATAGCTATATCCAATAAAGGATCCAACAAATTTTCCTTCCACATGAAATATATCATAGTTAAATGATAATATAAAGAAAGACAAAATAAGAGTACAAAGAACTAATACTAGAGTTTATACTTATTCACTTATGTTTAATTTTTTGTCGGTCATTCTATCTATAATATTGAATAATTGCAGTGAGATCTCTCAATACACGACGGGGCTTTTAAGATACCACAACAATGATTACTTGACATTTTAAGGAACCAAAAAAATGGTTGTCATTTGAAGTACTCTCTTAATCATATATCTCTCTTTCAAGCTCCGAAGAAGAAATGCACTCTCCTCTCTCTCACTTCTCTTTGATAGCTATTGTCGGCTTATAGGCCCACACCTAGGAACTAGTTGCACAAACTAGCACCATGACACTTTGTTGCCAAAAATCAGAAGACGCTTCAAGTTGTAGAGCCACGACGCTCTAAGATAGCATTGCGATATTGTGGGTGGTGCCTAAACATCCAAGTATAGCCTCTAGGCATGGTCTTTTCAATTTATTGGCCCGATCATGTATTACAGTGCTCTTTTGCTCTTTTTTTCCCCTTTTTCTAGGGCTTCCAAAACAATAAACTTATTTTTAATAATTTGAGCTCCACAAAACCGAACAATCAAGTGGTTTTTTGGTCAATCCAAGGGCCATAGGAAGGAGAGGCCTTCATGAAGACTTTAATTAAAAAGTAGTCTTCTTTTGGCATCCACCTACCATAGCCAACCATTTCTAATTCTTTTATCTTGTTCCCTTTGGAGCACCTTCCCTTCCCCACATTATGCTTCTCCACGTAAAGAAAAGGTTATTCCCTAAGGTTTTCCCTCCATAAAATATATATGTTCATTTTAACACTTGTACCGTCGTAATGTTACTATTAATAAGAAAGAATCTTCCCAAAGTTTATTTACTTGGGAGTGCAAGTTTTTACCTTCCCTAGTCAATTTGTCTAACTCATTCAAAGAATTTTGTTCTAATTAATTTTGATTGAATTGCCACTATAGAAATTGTCAATTGCTTAGTTTAATATTCATTACATAAATTATAGAGACATCTCTCAAATACTTCATAAAGTAATTAGGTTATTACAGTTGAAATTACACGTGATTTTTTATAATGTATTTACCATAGATTATTAATAACACAAAGAAACTATAATCATGTAGATGTTACTTCTATCTTTCACTGTTTTATACAAAGTTAAAAAGTATTTAGCGCAAATAAGAAAAAATGAGGATAATGGATCCTCGTACTATCTATATCCATTCCTTTACCAAGCTTATTTTTTCATAGTCCCCTTAGAAAACACTATTCGATTTTGTCGTAAGTTTTTTACTTATTTTGAACTTGAGTAAGGTAAAGCCTTTCTTTTTTAGTACCCCAAATAGTATGGATACACTCATAAACCAATCAAGACATTATCAAGGTACTATTTCTTGAATTAAAAGGCACTTTTGGTTATGGAAATGATTCTCTTCTAGAAGAAACACTTTTGACTATAACTTTGTGTGTTGTCTTATTACAAAGGCTTATAAATTTAAAATCCTTCATTCTTGTTAGTTTTATCTTTGGATATGGGAATTATTTTAGAAGCATTCAAGTGCATAGGTAAACAAGTATACTTAAGGAAATTCGTTATTGCTTCGGTTCTCTTCTCTCATGCTATGTGACAAAAATGTTCAAAAAAATTAGGTGGGAAAGCCATATGCTTGTGGGGCTTTCAACGACCAAATTGGAATAGAGAACAACATTGTTTCTTTCACCTTCTCTTGGTAAAATATCTATTAAAAAAAAAGTTAACCTCAAAATATCTACTTCTTAGATCGAATCCAAGCAACTACTCTAGCATCAAAATAAACTTGGAATTAATTAATCAGGATCATGAACCTAATCTTAGATAGATTACTTCATTTTTGCTTTCTAAATTAAAACTTAAATTGTACAATATTATATTCTAAAAAAAAAAACTTTTACGTAGTATGTTTGCAGTGCACGAACAAAAATTAGTAACAATGATACATCAAATTGGAGAACTCCATGCAGACCAGTCAAAATTAAGAATGCCTAAAAATATAATTGGATTCTTTACAAAGAACGGCTAAAAAATATGACTTAACACACGGAACGACAAATTAAAAGTTAATTAAAAATTTCGACTACACTCCCTAAAATTCAAACTATAATTGCATCTAATTAATCTGCTAACATCCTTAATAACATAGTCCAGTTTCTTATATTATCACCTCAAGTTAAAATTAATCCAGATTTACCCAATAAACATGTCCCAATTTCAAATACTAAATTTGTCAAAGTTATTTAAAAAAAGGGAAAGTTGACATTACAAGCTACAAGAAATGTTATTTAAACAATTTAATAAATTACAAGTGGTTGAATCAATCAATCAATCAAATGATAAGTATAGAAAAAGAAAAAAAAAAGAAATATATATATATTTAGCGGTAGCATAAAGCGTACAGTTCCCGTGTTTGAGAAGCGCACCATTATGAGACCGACTTGGGAAGGCGTCCGGTGGTGGCCCGTAACGTCGGTCGCCGTGCCTACGCGCCCCATCATCTGATCTCATCCCACCAATTTCTTCCAGAACCTTCTCATCTCTCCCATGGCCGCCTCCGCCTTTCGATATACCTCTACTCCTAATTCTCTTCCTTGACCGTGGCCTAGATTCTTCATCTCCTCTCCTCTTCGCGCCTGTAGCCATGTCCGATTCCGAGTCCTCATCTCAGCCGCCGCGGCCCCGCAGCCTCTCCATGCTTCTCCCCTTTCTTCTTGGCGTTGCGCAGAGCACCAACGGATCGCACCTCAATCAGATCGTCGTTCTCGACCACGCTGCGCGGACGGTTGTGGTTTTCGAAGGCCATGTTCTCGATTCTCTTCTCCGCGACCTATCGGAGAAGACCGGGCCCTTGCCGGCGTCCAAGGATTCTATCGACGCGATGCCGAGGGTGCGGGTTACGGAAGTCGGGACGGATTGTGCGATCTGCTTGGACGGATTCGAAGTCGGTGAGGAGGCCAGAGAGATGCCTTGCAAACACAGGTACCATTCGGAGTGTATTGAGAAGTGGTTGGGGGTTCACGGGACGTGTCCGGTTTGTCGGTTCGCCATGCCGGTGGGGAAGAAGAACGGCGGCGATGATGGTGAAGATATTGAAGGAGGAGAAGGCAGAGTAGTTGTGGTGAATCTGTGGGTTAGCGACGGCGATACAATGGATGATGTTGAATCGGTTTCGGGGATTGGATCAGAGGACTCCGATTCGGAATCGCAAGATGGAATGATGATCGATGTTGATGTCTCATCAACGAGGGATCCCAGTCCTGAAGATTCTTCATGATTTTTCATTTTCACCTTCTTCTTCTTCTTCCTATTCTTCTAGTTTTTTTTTTTCTATAGGCTTTTCTGGAAGTGCCATTGGTTTATTGTTTGCAGCAAATCATCACAACCTCGGCTTCAAAACTCAAAATTAGGGCAATATGATGATTCTTTTTTTGTCTGTTTTTTCTTGGGATTTGGAAATTTTTGAAGTTGTAAATAGTTAACCGATTCAAGAAGTTCTAATTTCATTGGAAATTTCCCCTTCTCTCCTCTGTTGCTTGATCTCCATACATTGAAGATTCCATGGGAGCAGACCTTATCCTTGTCCACACAGGATAGCGATTTGACGATGGAAAAGAGAGTGTAAAATCCTGTGAACGTTCCAAGTAATTTAACTGAATCTTCTGAAAAACAGAATGTAAAATTTTTTACTAGATTATTAATTCATTTCGCTATAACCTCCCAAAATGTACAATATATCATGGTTTAATAAATGGAAAAGATGTCACCCAAGTTCCTACAGAAACGAAAAAACAAATGACAAAAATATAGCTTTACCATCACCAATAGTCTCCACAAGAACAACTCCCATCTCGAAAATGATGGAATCTGCTAGCATCTCTGACCACAATTTCACGTCTGGTGATCAAAGCAATCAACTTTATCGTAGAATGACAGTCACCACAAATTCTATGGCTCTGCACAATTTGCAATGGCGTTTTCTTTAAAGTACTGAGTAGTCCATAAGCTATGGCCAATTTCTCACTATGGTACATGTGTATCTTTTCTTCCTTTTCATCTACATCTGGGAGCAAGAAGTTCTGTTCAGCTACATAACCAAGCTTTGAGATCTTTAACATTATTTCGTCCACTTTTTCGACAACCTTTTCGATTTCGGCATGATGTTTGTCCCCAGAGAGGAATGAATGAGGTTGGTTTTTAACCTCAATCCAACTGCATGCTGGAACCATTCTTAAGCCTTTCCTCTTCAAAGTCTGAACAACATCGGCTGCTTCCTTTAATTTGCCAGAACTGTTGTATATGTTTAAGAGCACAATATAATTACTAAGCTTGTCGGGTTCCATGCCGTAGAGGTTTTCAGCAGCAAGTTTCCCAAGCTCTAGATTTTCATGAACTCTGCAAGCTCTAAGCAAGGCAGCCCACATATTTGCTGTGGGTTTGAATGGAGCATTCCTTATGAGGGCATAGGCTTCGTCTAGGAGCCCTTCTCGGCCTAGCAATTCGATCATGCACGCGAAATGCATAGCACGTGGTTTAATCTTGTGATCTGTTGTTATCGATTGAAAAATTTCCCACCCGCGTTCGAACAAACCTGAAATACTACAAGCAGATAAAACAGCAAGGAATGTCACATGGTTTGGCGTCATGCCTTCCCTAAGCATCCTTTCAAACATCTGGATGGCCTCCTCACCCCGACCGTGATTCCCATATCCCGCTATCAAAGCATTCCATGATATTATGTTTTTATGGGACATCCTGTCAAAAATATGCCTGGCATCATCTATTTTCCCCCATTTGCTATAGAAATCCACGAGTGCTGTATTAGCTACTACATCTAACCCAAAGCCATTACGAACTAAACCTGCATGAACTTGCTTAGCACGTGCTACAGAGGCTAATCTCGAACATATCCTTATGATTATAGAAAAGGTGAAATGGTCCATTTTAATTCCAGAATCACGCATCTCATAACATAGATCTAAAGCTTCCTCACTGTAGCCATGGAGGGCATAACCAGCTATAATTGAATTCCATCCAACTATTGTCTTATCTGGCATCTCATCAAAAACACAGTGAGCATCTTCAAGGCTTCCACACTTGCTGTACATGTCAATCAGCGCACAGGAAACAAAAATATCCTGTCCCACACCAGCCTTTATCGCACATGAATGCAATTGCCTACCAGGAAAAATAAGTTCCAAACCAGCTGATGCCCGTATCATTATCGCAAAGGTGCGAGGTCCGCTATCAGAACACTCTTCCCACATCATAATGAACAATCTAAACGCTTCTATATAATTTCCAGAGTCTACGTACCCGGAAATTATAGTACTCCACGAAACTGCATTCCTTTCGGGCATTTCATCGAACAATCTACAAGCATCAATCATCATCCCACATTTCACATGCATAAGTAGAATCCTGTTCTTCATATATTGATCAGGCTCAAATCCATTATCAATCATGTAATTACACAACCTCTTCACTCCTCTTATAGATTTCAAGCCAATACAGGCATTAATCAACGCATCGTAGGTGCTGTTACCAATATCATAACCACCCTCTAGTTCAAAAATTTCAAACATTTCGAGTGCATCTCGGTACTTCTTACACAAAACCAACTTCTCTATCTGACTACAGATCCCTACACCGGATTTTCTAATACGGGTCGTCTCGTTCGAAGACGTTCCTTTCCGGACGTCATGATCGATTTTCGAAGGTCTAGGTTCGGGCCGCGGCCGCAGTCCTTGTTCCAACGAGGAGCACTTGATCCAACAAAACGAATTACGCAATTTTCTTCTATTAGACCACAAAGTATACTCAGAAAGCAAAGATCTCTTCCTAAAAAGCTTCGAATCCGTAAAACGAACGGGGAGGTAGGAACTAGAGCTAGAGGTGGAGCTACATTGAAGCCGATCATAAACATAGTTTTGATAGCGCGGGAGGGGGACTTCCATGGTCATAAATCGAGAGAGATGCGTGAAAAAATCAAAGGGAAGCTAGAATGGCGGGAGGGAGATTACCTCGAGAGATTAGAAGTCGACGAATCTGCTGAAATTCGACCCAATTAGAAGGATTTGGAGGAGAAAGCGCAGTTGATTCGAAAGATGAAACTGTTGTTGGTTACTATTCTCACTCCGGAAAAGGAATGGCGGAGACAAAGAAGAACGTATCGGGATTCATAAGCGAGCATCGGCATCGAGTTCTCCGCCAGTTTTGGTCGGTAGTTCAACTTTCCCCGCAGTAACGAACGCGGGGCTTTGGTTTTAGGTTTCCCTTTTCAACTATAAATATTAAAATAAAAGCCTGAGATTTTTCGCCCGCCAATTAATTATCAAAATACCAAAAGAAATTAGGGTTTAAATGGTTAATTAAAGTTATTCGACTCGATTATGAATTTCATGAAAAATTAATAAATAAATCTAACCTTCAATAATAAACTTTTATGATCAATCACAAAGACTAAATAGTATAATTTTTCATTCAAAATTCTGTTCACATCTCAACATTCATATTGTTTTGTAATTCACTTTTTATCCAAATTATTATATAAATTAACTAAAAATTAGTATTATGAGTTATTTTTTAATTTAAAATTTAGTGAAGAGTAAAATCTTAAGTATCTTATAAATGATTATATTTATACTAACGTATCAGTTTAAGTATTTTGTTTCATTGGTAATTTAATCATTTTAGAAATAGTATTAGAGTAGGAGATCTCCTACCATCTAAAAAATTTTTTTAGATGTTTGAATCCAATAAAAAAAAACTGACCATCCACATTGTTGTTCAATGCCATTGATGTCACCAGAAATAACTTAAATAATTTACCGCCTTCAATTAAATTTATGTTTAAATGCTATCTGCTTTGATTTATTCAGTAGCCTTTTAATATTAACTAATAAGATGTAACTAGAGCTAAATTAGATTGGCCGAATTAAAATTATGATTCTATTCTAATCCTAACCATAAGCTAAGCTTTAATTGATCATGTTAATCATGTCATTTCATGGCATATCAGTGTTTCGTAAGTTTTTTCAAAAAGAAAAATTAGTGTTTTGTAAATTAGTGTTTTTTGAAGTTTAGACGAGAAGGTAGAAGAGGAAAATTTAAAGTAATGTTTCTAATTTCTTATGTCTCGTTTCCTCTATTTCATATTTTTAGTGTTTCTTGAAACAAGAAACAATAAATTTGATTTTGTTTAACTTTGCAGATCTTTCTTAAAAATAAGAAAAGAGAAACAAAAACAATTACAAAATGTTTATATTTTGGAAAAATTATATACTACATTACCCAACGTGTCTTTTAACCTCTAACCCTTTTTCAAAGGTCACTAATGCCTCAAGTTAACTTAGTGCGGTATGTGCAAAGTATATCATTCAATCAAAATTTTATGTTTATACAATGGAATATTATTATACCTATCAATATTCAATAGACAGAAAACATTATCATCAAACTGAGAAACATGTAATGGAGGTTTCTTTGGGCTTTATCCTACTGCCATGTATCTGGGCATCAAATGCCTTCTGGCTTCTATTTTCTCTTTTGTTCATTTTTGTCCCAATAAAATATGGAACACCCATTTCATTGGAGGAAATCTGATTCTCATTCCCATCGCAGGATTCCATCCATTCAGAAAACCTTCCTTTTGAGTCATTTTGAAGGACCTATAATCTTTGCATGCAAATGAGAATTCAGATCCCTGTTCCTCTGTTTGTACTGCCTGCCAAAACAAGTATTTTAGGAAGTCCCTTCAATGGTGATCTTAATCCCAAAGGGAATCCAATTCCCATGCAATCCAAATATTAACAGAAAATCTACACACCTCCACATCATTCCCAGACATGCCAAACACAACAGATTCAATTTCCTAAAGATGTAACCTTAACAAAAAACAGCAATCTTAGAAAACTGCCAAGAACTAAAGGTCTCCTAGAGCTTCAAAGACATGGCCCAAAAATATTCACCCACTTTAAAAGTTGTTAGCTTTATCAATGTTATGTGCAGAAAATCAAACCTCTCAGCCGTCTAATATGAGCTTGTTAGTACAGAAGTCATTCAAGATGTATGAGATGCAATATTTTGGGTGCACCAGCAAATCTACATGTATAATATATATAAACATCTTCTTGTGAACTAAGATGTAGAAGTAATTGGCAGCAAATCCAGATAGGAGGGTAACAGAGATGAAGACATGGCATATAGATCACAGCTTTTCATAATCCAGGCATAAATGACTAGAATTTCAATTCTCATAACAGCAAAGAGAAGTTCCAGAGAAGAAAAGGATTAAAAAAATGACGGGATTTCTATTGCATCATGCAAGGAATGAATTTATGCAGAAAGCCAAACATATAAGTTCAAGATAGAAGAGTCATCAGGGCTTGCCTGCTTAGAAAGTAGTCGAATAGGATAATACCAGTGGTTACCGTGTCACACGAGATAATGGAAAGTAGCTACTCTTTGCATCATCTTGATAAGGAAAGTTACTATCAGCAGCCGAAATGCTATATCTGCAACTGAAAAGATAGGTTTTTCATTTTGTAACAATGACTCTACCACATCTTTTAGAGAGCCTATTAAGTGAATACAATGTCAAATTATGCAAGAAAGTCACGTCCTCTTAAGAATATGAAAATGAGATCAGTGCCGCATAATGCTGTGATGCAAATAGACAGTCCACCAGTTATGAAACAAGCCAGGTATAAGACATGAAAAGCCATAAATTCTTCAAGATTTTCATAAAAATTTAGATAACCTTGAATCAAAGTAGCCAAAAAGTTTGCAGCTGCAAGCTGAAAGGAGAAAGTAGTGCAGTCACTTGCTTATGCAATTCATCATGTAGTGAATTGCTTGTTACGAAGCAGGATTACCAATATGAGGTGCATTGACTAGTTTAAAGACTAGTCTTCCAAAGTTTCTGCACCTCGGTAATTTTTTTTTTGATAACCAAACAACAAGGTCTACGAGAAAAATTACAAAAAAAAAAGAGGCCCAGCATTGGGAATCTAGAATAAATGGTAATTACAATAAAAGCTTTCAGAAGAGGTGCTAAAATGTGTCAAATCCAATCCTCCTATTAAGGTCTCTCAGGACTCAAAAAGATTCTCATGTTTCTATTCAACCAAGTACTCCAAAGAGAACTCTAAATCAAGAGGAAAGGCCTGATCCTCTTCCAAATAGACACTTCTGGTAACCTCTCACACACACAATACTTAAATCATCCAATAATGCATTGGCAGTAAATCTATAATACTTAATCACACACACAGTTTGCGGGCACACGCGCACACATATATATCAGATAATAAAAAAGAACACAGTGATTAAATTTTGTTAAAGGAGATTCAACAAAAGCTTGTGTTTCACATATTATCCTTAAGCCAGTACTATCTTGATCTACTAAAATGCATACGTTTCTGCAGAAAGTGTAATTCATGTCAGATAATATGTATGACTGAAGGTGAAAAAAGAATGATAAATTAAATCTATGGAAGAAGTTAATCATAGTAAGAAATATAGATCTAAGAGAGCACATCGAGTTGATGCAACAAGGATTGTATATTCCCTACTTAAAAACTGTATATGTTCCTTACACCTGTCTGCCATGAGCTTATTTAAAGACATCAAATTTTCCACAAGAGTAAGAAAATTCTTCTCTTCATACTGAGTAATCCTGTAATGATTATCCTATCTATATGCTTTGAAAAATATTATTAATGCTATTATTTCTTGATCTTCCTCAGCTGCTTCCTAGGCCCAGGAACTTCCAACCTACCAACAGAACAGCCACATCTTGCTCGAAATATTAGTACTGCTCTTCCATTAGGAGGTGCCATCTTCTTCAGTTCAGCTTCTAATTCGCGATGATGATCACGGGGCAATTCAAAAAGCCCCTTCTTCACTCCATTTTTAACCAATGGAGTTGAGTTCTTCACACACTCCTCTGTCTCCAATTGGATATCGAATTCAGCAGCCTTCCGGAGCCCCTTGCAATTGGGATTTCCACATTTCCTGCTCGTACATATTAGAACGACCCAGGCAGCTAATGAAGCACAGAGAACGCTGAGTCCAATGGATCCATATATCCAAGGCGCACGAGAGACTTCCTCTCCCATCAAATACAAAATCGCGCCAAAAATCTCCAGGAATTCAACGATAACGAGCCTCAAATAGGGGAATAACAGAAACCCAAAAGCACCAACCACAGCGATCAGAATTACAATATCGATAACGGCCGATCGAGAGCGATGACAAACAGGGAATTTCGAACAAGTCGATGAGCTAGTGATCTTCCTGTTCCTGGATTTGAAACTCGGATCGGCTGAATTCACTGAACTCGCCATGACGGTTGGTTGGTCAACGGACTTGCAGACCGAGATTGAGTATGGGAAATAGACCATTTCAAATCAAATTCCAATCAAACAGCGATTGAAACTGCCCGATTCAATCAAATCCAGCAATTCAGACACCGAATCAGATCCAACAAACTCAAGGGAAAAATTCGAATCGAAAAGGGGTTAATCAACCGCAGATGAAAAAAAAAAAGAAAAGAACCCAGAATTTTGTCGGCGTCTAAACCAATTCAACTCCTCAATCAAATCGAAAGCGCAATCAAACCCAACAAAAGAAAAGAGAGAAAAAAAAAAAACTAATGGGCGCTTGAGAAATCGGCGAAATGGGTTATGGCCAAACAAGTGGAGACAGAAAAAAGATGAAGCAAGAGTGGAGAGAGCGTCATTTGCAGCTTTAAAAACCACATCTCAGAAAAAGAGAGATGGAAGATTGAAGAATAAGGTAATGTAATGTAATCGGTTCGCTAAGTCAGCCGGTGAAGAAAAGAAGAAAGCTTACGTGGGCTACCTTTCGCATAATGGGCTTTGGATTTCTCCTCCCATCATGTGTGAATGATTTGGTGGGACACTCCATGGGCTTGGCCCACCCCCCTTTCTTTTCAATTAATTAATTAACTTCCACTATTAATATAATATCAATTATCAATCCGGGGCAGTTGCAAATATTTATTAAAATTAACAAAATAACAATCAGTTTTTTTTTTAAATATAACATCTTTTTATAAAATATTGAAGGTTGAATTTTAAAATGATAACTTTGTACTGATATACATCTATAATATATTTATAATATATTTGATTATTGATATATGTATGTGATATATGTCTAATATACTACTAATATGAGTATTTGTAAATATTATGCTATATTTGAAAATTAAAAAAAAAACAAGTGACGTATTTTAAAATACATAAAATTTTTTTTTGTCATCCAGTGCAATTTTCCTATCAATTAATTCAAATTTATTTTTATCTCGAATATTCCACCTGTTTGTTTATGCAGGAATCTGCACAACGGTTCTTCACGAATCGAGCTTGAATCCGGTCTCCGGTTCCGACCTGAACACTAGAGTGGACCTGCACAAGAGGGCGAACACCCCGACGCTCAAGTCAGTATAGATCGGACTCCTTATTTAGTTCGAGATCAGATTCGATACCTGAGCGCGAAATGTACTCCTCTATTTATAGGTAACGGGCCCGACAGCACGCACGACCGGCGGTTACATGTCTTTTCTCATATCGGACCTGTCGGGTTCCGAGCAGGTCGGACCACAATCAAGCCGAGCTTTGGTGAACATGCTTCATCTTTTAAGGGGCAAACTCGGTTCACCTCGGCGGGGCCGAGGTAGACCTAAGCAATCATTTTTATCTAATTTCATCCAACACGAATAATGGTCATCCACGTGTCCTGGATAAGTTTACCCCAAACACTGTTGTACTACCCATTAAACAAATTTTAAAATAATAATAATACACAAACATAATAGTAAGACTTAAAGGGATCGTTTTTTTTGTTTAAAAGATATAAGAAAAACATATTATTGAAATGCTTATTGTTTTTATTTGCATGCCCTTTTTAGATAAAGGTGAAGGAAAAAAGTATGGTCTTGGACACCATTTTGGAGATTCTCTATCTATTTGGTATATGGATATTAATTAAACTTTAAAGCATACTCTGCTAATTAATAAACAGCTAATCAATTATCTAATAGAATATACCTCCAAAAGGGAAAAAAAAAAAAAGGAAAAAAGGAATGTTGTGTGTGTGTGTATGATATGATATTATTTTAACTTTTGAATCGATGCTCTGTCTTTTAATTTTGAATCATTAAAATTTAATTAATGATTAAAAATTTAGGGGATATTCTTAAAGTTGTTGATGACTATATTCTAGTTAGATTAATATATAATTTTTACCTTTCAAAGTTTTCAATCTCTCTTAATCAAGTTTCTAGGTTGAAGTTGAAGTTCAATTTGATTATGCTAAATTTTGTCTGGGTTGGTTTATTGTACAACAATCTTTCACAATTTAGGTAAAATTTGATCTACTCATGAAAAACAATAATTATTCTTTTAAGTTATTAGGACACAGAAGAAATACCAAAACTATCTTTTAAGTAACATGCTTTTATGAATTTAATGAATTTAGATAATTCCTTTTTAGTACAACTTTATATGATTTTATCCTCATAAGTTGAATTGAGAAGTTAATACAAAATCCAAAAACTTTTTACTTAAAATATATTTCGCTCATTCCATCTATAAATTTACTTTATTCAATTATTCAATTACGATATTTTATTAGTTTAATCGTTGTGTTATACTAATGTCAAAGATGTGACACTCTAAATAACTAAATAACTAAGAGTAGGTTTACATCAAAATTAAAATAGGAAGAACTTAATTCAAATTTAGAGATTAAAAACACATACAAAACATCAAAGTTAAATGGATGGATTAAATTATAATGTTACGCTTTAACTTTTATAACGTTATTTCTTCCCACTGTATATAACTTTTCCAAAAGGCAATTATAGAAGTTGAATCGAACCGTGTTGGTAGCGTTACAGAAAGGCCAGTCCAAATTCAAAATCTAAACGCAATGACTTTGTTCATAAACAGAAAAAGGAAGCAAATTAATTAAACTACCAAACTAATTTGACTAAAGGAAGCCTGCAATAATATGGCACATAAAAAATATTATTATATATTTATGGCGTTGGGGTCAAAATGGTTTTCAATTTTCATTATGATATTGAAAATAGATGAAGTGGGAAAACACTGATTCATACTCTCATTTAAAAACCTCTCTTTTCTTTTCCTCTTTTAACCTTAAATTTATAACCTTTGTTTGTTTGAAAAATTTATTGTTAAATGAGATTGTTACAATATAGTTTAGGTTTCAACTTTGTTATTGTATTTTAACTTCGATTGTCCTGTTATTATGCGTCTCTTAAATTCTAAGTTTAGATTAACCTTCTCCTCTATAATAATAAAGTTCAAATTACAATTATAACCTTTTGTTTTATTTGTTTTTATCATTTCGTTTTTCTTTTCTTTTTTTTTTTTTTAAATTTTGGAAGAAGAAGTCTCGATTAACTTACACCATCTTAAACGATGACCCGAAAAGTTATTCGTTGTGCCATGCCAAGGAAGTGTACAAGTCGAGCATGAGTAAAAATGAAGGTGTTTGGAGAATAATAATTGAGACTATGATTAATTCATTTGTAAGAAGAAGTTAAATGAGTTGGAGTCACCTTAGTCAAGGTCAATGAGGAAAATTTCATGAGAAACTTATTGTGTGCACCATTTGACACGAAAGGGGAGAATACAATACTATTTTGTTGATATTTTGTCTCATAATGTTGTTTTGTTTTCTATTATTTGGATGTTTCAATATCATTGACTAGAATTAGTGCTTGTTCTTTTTTTCAATATCACTAACTTCAGAGAAATATAAAAAAAGTGATCTTAGTTAATATAATAAGGCCAGGTCATGTTCAAGAACCCCTTAATATAACTTTTGATCCTTAGATTTAAGGTTAAATGTACTAAGTGTATATCTAATCTTTGAGGTAATTCTTAATTTAGTTTTTTATCCTTTAAAACTCTTTATTTGATTCTTAATCTATTAAAAGTTCCCAATTAATTCTTTAGCTAAAAAAAACTATGTTAAAATTTATTGTGTTTGATCACATTGTGATCGTCCTGCAAAGCTTGGACTGAAGAGGCTGACGAATGCTCATAACCTGCACACAGAGAGAGAAAGCGGCTTCGACGCTCAAGTCAAGACTAAGTTCAATTTATTACGCGGAGAAGAATAATATTGCGTACCTCAAAAGTGGAGCGAGCCCCACTATTATTTATAGGTGTTGATCTCCAGGTCTTGCTCAACAATTACAACCATCTCAGGTTTGCAATGTATTATCGAAAAAACAGTTAAGAGCAGCGAGGCACGACATTGTGATCATCAGTTCGTCCTTTACCAAGGTCGGTCGTTTAAGATCCATATTGGTCGACTCAACCTCTATGAAGGTACACACGATCCTTCGATGTATTCGTGGGCTTATCCATGAAGTTGTGGATTCTTTTATAAACATCTTATGAAAAACCAAGAGAGGACCTCAAAATATTGGATCATGACAGAACAGTAACTTCCCAAACATAACTCTCACTAGTGAAGTGACCACCTTTCCACTATAATGAATATGAATTGTATAGCATATTCTCCAAACTGCGCAGTTTGGTTTCATTTCAATTGTCACATTTGGGCTGGGCTGATGAAACTTCAAGCCCGGGAATTAGTTTAAACTTGGCCTTCTTTCAAGTCTTTTTAGGGCATTTTATAGGGTCTAACTTAATGCATGTGCAGCAAAAAAAAAAAAATAATAATAATAATAATAGTTAATTTTTAAGTATTGTCAAAAGCCAATAAAAATAATAGGTATATACTAGAATAATTGTTAATACTTGGCCAATAGTATACAATAATAAAATTTATAACATAACTTCAAAAAATTGTTCTATAGAAAACATGCTCTCTTAGTTTAATGATACCATTTCTAACATGGAAATTTAAACTCAAATAAGATCTTATCAACTTTAATAAGGTGCAAAACATATATATATTATATTATAGGAAAAATTATCCATCATTCTATTACTTAAAAAATAACAGAATAATATATAATAGTAGATATTGTCTCAAAATATATAACATAATGATTGAACTAGTAACTCTTATCCAAGATGGTATCTAGAATGAGATTCAAGATTTAATTATATCACTATACTTGTAAGTATTAATTGGTTGTTGATATATTTTAATGATTGCCGTAGTAATCTAATAAAGGCGAAAAAGTTATTAGGTATTGGAGTGGCACAACCTTCTCAAATTGTATTAAAATAATATAAAAAATTAAAAAAAAAACGTTTAAAACAATTCAACAAACCTAAAATTGAAGTTTACTAAAATCATCTAAAAGAAGAATTATAAAGAAAAACAGCACCAAGACTGTTCAACAAACCTAAAGTCTACGAAAATATTAACAACATATGATTGTCTGCTCGAAAATATTCAAATCCCCAAATATTTTTTCTTTTATATATGTCTAAGTTTGCTTCTACATCATTTAATATTTCTTTTGGGAAAAAGAAATTAAGCCTCAAAGTGTGTGACGCATATGACTAATTAAATTAAGCAATTCAAGAGTGAGATTGAATCTCTCTCATCTTGACTTTGGCACATACATCAAAGAATGCGATGTCAAACAGGCAGAAAGAATTACTTAAAACAAAAAAGTATATAATATAATAGTCAACATTTCATAAACAACCTACTTAATTAATTTTTGTAATTTAGCGTATATTTCACTTAAAAATAAAAAATAAAAAGGTATTTGTTAAAGAGAAAAGAAAAGAAAAAAAGGGATATATAAATATAGTGGATTTCATTTTCGTTGAGGGAAAAATCTTATCCT